AGATTTGTGATGGTCGGCCTGGTGGAGTGGCCCAAGGATCCTAGGTCTATAGGAGTGGTCCGAGGGCCACCAAAAACCATCACTTCGGTTTTGTCATCATTTAATTTTAAAAAGTTGCATGACATCCAGGATTTAAAGGTCCCATTTCATGGCTATTTCCACTGATCATAATTCCATTGTTGAGGTCTAGAAATAGATTTATATTGTGCAATTTTCCAAAATCACTTTGGTCTCTCATACAGCATCTCTGTAAACTACGTGTATTCACTGAATTTCACTCTCTGCCTTTAACGGCTCATTGTGGCTCCAATAGCTCCAGCCCCCACCCTCCCTGTGAGCACAGTGTGCTCTGATTGGTCGGGACGTTGTGCATCGCGTTGAGCTCCGTGGAGGTGTGGTTTCCTTGTTTAACGATACACAGAGAAACTCACCCTGAGCACGCAAAAATTCACAGCCGAAGTAANCCTGTGAGCACAGTGTGCTCTGATTGGTCGGGACGTTGTGAATCGCGCTGTGGCTGTGTTTCGCTGTCGCTAAACAAGGAAACCACACCTCCACGGAGCTCAGCGCGATTCACAACGTCCCGACCAATCAGAGCACACTGTGCTCACAGGGAGGGTGGGGGCTGGAGTATTGGAGCTACAACGAGCCGTTAAAGGCAGAGTGAAATTCAGTGAATACACGTAGTTTACAGAGATGCTGCATGAGAAACCAAAGTGATTTTGGAAAATTGCACAATATAAATCTATTCTAGTAGACCTCAACAATGGAATTATGATCAGTGGAAATGGCCATGAAATGGGACCTTTAAAGGATGTCCTAATTCAGACCATATATTTATAGAACAACATGCTTTCTCTTTGTTCAATTTTGTAGGTGTCCTGGTACTAATACAATGTCTCGTGCTTCAGTTGTTTCAGGTGACTGACCCAGTCAAGGGACTTAGACATGTCAGCAAACATTACCCTGTTCATTGTGGGATGTCTTGCCTCAGTGACTGGAAGGCCAGCACGAAGTGCATTTAAAAAGGTGCAGCACCCAATGTAAAATGAATGTAAAATTGCACCCACTGCAGAATCCAAAAGCACTACATACCCACACTCTCAGCAAAACAAATGAACAGTAGTTCATATAGTATAACCCAGTTATACTATATGTTTATTATCATTATTAATGATGTGCATTAAACCCAGGCAGGGTTAAGGCCTCCTTAAGTTAGATAATGTATAAATCACTGCTGGTTTTGGCCTCTAGGGTGGAGGAATTTGTTGGAAAAAACGAGGCATTATATTTTAAATACTATGGTCAAAAGTGAATTAAGTGAAAGAAACAAATTGACCTATATATATTATTTGCAAATGTATGAGTATGTTTTTGTATATTAAACGCTTCAAGATATCCATTAAATACATAGGGAATGGGATTCAGTGTTTTTGTGCCTCCGTTTATTCACAACAGCCCTACTCTGTAAGACCAATTTTACAAATGAACTAGGCTGGGTTTCCCCAAAGCAATGCAGCAATACGATATGTGCTAAATTGCAATTGAAGAAGCTAATATGATCTTACTGTTATTGCTTTTCAATAGCCTCATCAACCAAGGAGAAATGCACTTGAGAGTGGAACATAATAAGACAAAAGGCACTTGTGGTCTGCTTTCAGTCAATAATACAGACATAATAACAAACTCTGTCTTATGAATCACATCTGAGTGACAAGGGTAATGGGGCTAGTGCATACAATCGCAAACATACATCACAATACGTCTAGAGTGTTCTTCTATTGGATTTTTCAAAGACTACCACTACATGTATAATGATGTGGAGCAGGAAATTAAAAAAAACACAAACCCTAAGGGCAGAGGAATTTACCCTCTAATATGTACCTCTAAGAGCTAATAGTTTTATTTCCTCACCAAGATTGTCTTGGTCAGTATGTGCACTTTAAGACAACCTTTCTCCACAAGCTAACACCTGTTGTGCCTGACAAAGGGCATGACAGTGCAAGAACACCCTTTGATAGAAAAACAGTGAATTCAGGGAGGGGAACTGAGTGCATGTTACTTCTTGTCCATTGTCATGTTTCATTTGACTGTTTGGTTTTTGTATTTCTTAGCATTAGAAGAGTTTAGAGCAAATCATTCAATAAGCTGCAATGACTCATTTTAGCTTTGACTTTACCCAGGAGTCTTTCCTCCCACAGGCCAAAGGGCCTTGCAAACAATAAGGTTATTAAAAGTACTGCTCAACCTGAAGATAACATGAGATTGACCTTTTGTTCCATTCTTAATTCGCAATATTTTTAAATTCTGTAATCTTACTCTTGAATTGTTATCCCATTAGCTAAATGAAACATGTATTGTTTAGTCCTGAACACTTAAGCTCATTGAGGTAGGTTGTTGTGATAATACTGTGGCTTTTATTATGTAATTAACCTAATTATCACATCAGTTAGGTGTGATGTATTATGTATACAGTGTTTCAAAAACTATATAAAAATGCTATTGCAAAACACTATGTGTGCACTATCCCAAAAATGATGTGCATTCCTATCTACTTCAATGTAATGTTTCGCAGTGCATGCAGGCAATAGTCTCACCTTCATAAAGTATCTTGAAGCCGCTGTTTGATCGACTGTTGTCGGTGGTGAAAAGCAGATACAGAAAGCTACTGCTACTAAACAGGAACTGAGGGACCTGGGTTCCATTGAATGAGCCAATCAGAGGAGACAGCAGGTTAGGACCGTCATGCACTTCCAGGAAGTCATAACTGAGCTCAGTTTGAAACCTTAAAAGTAAAAATAGCAGAGAGAAATAATTGAAGAGTTATTTGTATTCGCAACAATGCTTTTGCTTTGACAGTTTAAAACCATTAGGTTGGTTAGAGACAAAAAGATTTTAATCTCGAGGAAATAAATGAGAAGAAATAGTCTACGCAAAAAGTGTTATTATTGCAATAGTATTACATTAATGACTTTTTGAGAAATCTGACATGATATGGATTGTCACCTTAAAGAGCAACTTGCAGGTTAGAGACACAAGTGAATAAATGTGTAGGAAAATAATGAATACACTAGATTTTCCAAAAAATATACAGAAATATACACTACAGTGACATCTGGCGTCGTTTTAGTAAGACATTTTCACTTCTGAATAAAAAAGCCTCGTGACCTCCCGTGTGTGACGTAACATGGGGGAGAGCGGCCGGTCTAACGTATGAATAAACATGGATCACAATGCTAGTTTTGACACAGAAGAGGTTGAAAATATATATTCGAATGCGTATGATTATAATTATGAGTCTGCTAGGCGTCCAAGAGACCAGGAGCAGCCAAGGATTAGAAGAAATAACGGATGAGAAATGGAGCTGTGGTGTGAGGAGAACATGTGGAGAACAGGGCAGCTGTCTTGGTGAGTGACCGGGGTTAGCTACACAGTGGCGGAGCTGGGGGTGGCCAGCCCAAACACCCTCACCACGGGGCCCAAACAATTTTAGAACATTAAGAAAAAAATGTTTAAGTAACCTTTCATCATTCACCAAGAATTAACATTAATAGGACGTTATATGGATAATGTACTCACTAAACTTACAATTCATTTAACTTATTTTTTTCCAAAAGTTAATTATCCAAAGCCTCTGTACACCCCCTTCTATTTACATGTAATGGTTTGGTCCTGCCTCCAAACGCGGCGCAGCACCGCCGGCACTTTCTAGCAGAGAGTGAGAGCATGTTAGGAGCAGGGATGCTAGTACTTACGTGTGAACCATGTCTCAACGACTCACAAATTCAGGCTTACAAAAGAGAAAAGAAGGGAGAGAAAGAAAAGAGAGAGGGACTAAAGGGCGACAGTATGTCACCCAGTTTTTCAAAGAAAAGGTGGGTGTGGTCTATGAGTGGTGGAAATGTGTGTGTAGCTAAGCGTAGTCCATTGTAAATAATAATTGTTATGTTTTTTTTTTACTAAGCTGACATTAAGTACTGTTAATATCTATACAGGTTTTTAATTTCACTGCTCTTTTAGCTGTCATTTAGTAAATGCAGGTACATTTTTAGCAGCTATTCAAACTAAATCAGTTGTCCTGGTGCCAGGACCAACAGATCCTCATCTCTAGACTTAGCAGCCCTGTCCCCCCATAAGTGTTATATTTTCACAGCTCAGTGTCAGTAAATATTGTGCGGTTAGTATTGGACTACAAGATAGATGCAAGCCTGTACAGCTAGAGTTATTTAAAGCATAAATTAGTGGGTTGGGTTCTGGAGGTGTGGTTACAGCAAGTGTGCTTGGTTAGCGTGGCCTGGGGCTGGTGGTGGGGCCCAATGTGATATCTTTTCATGGGGCCCAAAATCCCTGGCGTGTATGGCCAGAGGGCAGGACCTATAACACATTTACTACCCAATAGCATTGTGAGGCTGAACAAAAGGACCTTTTAACTGTGTAAATGTAGTCTTTTAAAAAAACAAAACATTTACTGACTTTTTTAGGATAGCTTAAAGTAATGTTGTAAAATTACAACCGGGGGCCTTACAGGGTTAAGGGCTATTGTTTATTGTTATTTACTTTAAGATGTTTATTCTTAACCTATCATTTAATTTAAAAACTCTTATTTAAGGCGAGACACCCCAGGTGAATAGGGTAATTTTTTTAACTTAAAGGTATCAGCTAGAAATATTTTCCAGTTAATTACTTACAATAAGGCAATTGTCTTTTGTATTACAAGTTTTCTGAAATAGCATGTTTAAATATGCAAATTAGCCATTATCTCATCAAATATGTGCATATTTTANAAGCCTCCTGTTCTCTGGATGACAGCTTTCGTTTTTTGGTTTAAGACCCTTTTGTGCTTTCACGATTGGTTGCTGATACAAAGGAAATGACCATATTTGGATCCGATGAGATTGTGCAGGAGAGACACAGCTTTCTAACGATATCTCTGTTGACATGGTGCACACAGCGGTCGCGGTACTTTATGTTACGTTAGAAAGCTAACTTTTGGTGAATTTAGGAGAAATCTACTGACGCAAATAGACAAATTATAGTCAAATAAACACTTAAATGTGTATTTTGTACGTTTTCCTTCCAAAAGCCTGAAAGAAAACATGTTATAGAATCAAAATAGCACAAAATCTCAAAATTGACCAGTGCTTGAAAAACGATGTTTTTGCCTGCCGTGTCTCGCCTTAAATGATGTGTGTGTGTCTCTGTATTCCTGATGATACACTGAGAGAATGAGCTCATAGTGCTGCTGATCATTATATGCTAAACAGTCTGTATATTGCATTACATTTGTATAATGTAAGCTTCGTCGATACTTTGCCTGCGGGAATACGAAAAAAATAGTTAGATATACTGAATATTATTTGATCTATTCCACCACTTAATCCCAAATAATGTAGAGGTGTGTTGTAGGTGCCTTAAATAACCCCTTATTTTATAGTGAGATGTATTTTTATGGTCATATAATAGTGATTTCAATGCCACCCCCAAATGATCACTGCTTCGATCCTGGCCACCCCACTGAAAATGTCCTGGCTCCGCCACTGCTTAAGAACCTTTCTTAACTGACTAATAGTAGCCCCGTCATGACGTCAGTGTTTACGTAGCTGCTTTTCTCAGCAATGCCAGCGTGAGTATCACAATAAAATCACAATAAAACAGGTGAGTGGTGCAGTGATAATGTATTTCCAAGCCGACCTGAGAGTTAGCATCGCAAGGGCTCCCTTGACAAAAAGCAATGGGATTTCGCCACTGGATTCTGGCATATTTTAGAAAATAAACTCTCTAGCCAAGTCATGTTTATGATACTTAACACGTTTTGTTCAGCAGGAGAATCTCCACAGCATTTCTGGCAACATAGTGACGTAAATAAAGTTTCTCTGTTATTACATGGATGATGTTAGCATAGCCACCGAAGCCAGTCTGACGACACTATTAAGAACCCAGAAACGTAATAATACTTGTATTAAAAATGCATTACACATTATATGAAATGACATTAACCGGGTTTACGTATGCCATATTAATTATTCACTGTAATTGTTTTGAATGATGAACAGGTTGCTATTATCGCAACATTATTGTCTGATGTAAAGAGAGTGTTCTCCATGTATCCAGGGTGAATGTCTAGATGTTTTTATCACATTAGAACAGAGCTGTATTCAAGCTGTCATGGTTATTACACATTTGCAGTTCTTCTTACCTTACCATCAATTGGAAGGAACCTTATTTGACAGCTGTTTCTTAAAGTTACTTAATCTAAAAAATGCTAATGTACCTCTTGTTGTACTGATGGAATTAGTTATTTGTAAATAAACGTTATTCTACATTTTTGGTAAAGGATTCCACCTAAATGTGCCAGTGTGTTTTTGGAGATCTGGACATTTTTTGGGAATCACCATTCAAGCTAGTGAAGTAAATGTATTTGTTTCAAAAGCAGTTAATGAACAGTCGATGACAAAAGTACCTTTTTCAAGACTACAATTCCCTCTTGACTTTGGCCACTAGAGATGATGTCAAACATGTTGCCCTCTTCTCCTGGAACAATGGTATAATCCACCTCTGCATTGGCACCAGCATCCGGGTCATAGGCTCGAATCCCTCCGACTGACGAGCCCATGGACGCAGACTCTGGCACCCGCAGGTGGAAAATACCTGTGGTCATGGAAGAAGAGAGGGGAAAAGGTCAAAAATAAATTAAGGGTTGTTCAAGAAAGAACATCAAGCATAATCTAATCAGTCACAACAATCAAAGACCCTTTCATCCATCCAACAATCACCCATCAGCCTCATTGTGGAGACGGTCTTACTCTTAGCGAAGCGAGGTGGGTTGTCGTTGACGTCTCCAAGGGTAACGTTGATAGTGGTGGTGGAGGCCAGCCCCCCCAGCAGACCTCCCATGTCCTTGGCCTGGAGGAGAACCTGGTACTCCCCTTTTATCTCCCGGTCCATGTTGGCCAGAGCAGTCCTGATCACTCCTGGAGGAAGAGGAGAGGTTTGAAACGGGTATTCCTTATGATAATGGACCTCCCATATAGAAGGACAGACATATACTGTGGATTCTGACTGTCGGAGCCATATGTTAAAATGTATAGTCTGATATTTTTGAATATTATTATCCTTTGTTGTTAGTGCTATTATATCATTTATTGGAACCAGCCGTGTGAAATTAACGGCATAGACGCATCAGACGAACCGCAGCTCGTGATTACGAGACGTTATCAGCCGACGGCAGCCGTGCCTGGGTGGATTGGGGGTAGAAGGAGGAAAGAAGCACCGAGCAACATAGCTTTTTGACCTGAGAGAATATGTGTTGTATTTGAACCTTTTTTTGGAAGTAAAAAAGCAAACAACAACAAAACAAAATTTGTCCGAGTCAAGCTTTGCTATCTTGCCGAATTTATGATTACTGGGAACACATTTGTCAAAAACAAGAGCTCTGAGAAGCCGAACAAAACCAGTGATGGCGTCGCCATGAAAGGTGAAGATAAAGCACCTGCTCATATCCACCACGGATGGACAATTAACATACCGACGAACAAAGACGTGAATGGCCTGTTGTTAATGTAAATGTTAAATTGGATGGAAATCGCTACTCCCGACAGAAAGAAGGCATGCTAATGGATCAGCTGATTCCAACTCCAGCTGAAAAGACCAGATGCAACGAAGACATTTCTATAACCACGAAGCCTTTAATGTGAAATCATTAGTTGAGTTAAGCACTAGTAAGTTTAATTGAAAGAGCCTGGAAGAACTAACCGAAAGGAGCTCACAAGAGGGGCCAAAAGTCCACGGAAAAGGCCAAAGAGAGGCTGCCACAGGCCAAATGGATTAAGCGAGAGCGAAGGCGTGGGACAGCTCACCAAGAAGGTTAATGAGCTGGAACGCTTAAGAAAAATGATTGAAACATAACAAAACAAACATTGAACAGATTTGTAAGCATAACTTGAAGAAATGATTAAAGGAGTACCGCGAAAGGACAAAAGACGACCGTGAA